ATTTATTACTTCAAATCATCTAATTCTAATTATTCGATTAATTCTTTTAATTAAACTAACTTAATGAACTAAATTAGATTAATCATATTAATATAGCTAAGTATATTAATCTAATTCAATGAAGTCCAATAATCGAATATCAATTTCATTTCAATTTTATAATTCTACTAACTAGTCTAGCTATATTACTAAGTCCATACTTCAAATAATTTAGTCCTTAAACTAATTGACTTTAATTAAACTAGTCCAATAAGGTCAATTAATTTTTAATGTACTAAATCATTAAGTCCACATTAATTAATCGACTTATTTATACTAATCCACTAATTTTATGAGTTCAAATAGTCCAGTAATTCATATTAAGTCAGAATTCTAATTATCAAGCATAATAACTACTAATTTCATTAAACTAGTTTAATTAGTCCATTAATTCAATAATGCTATTTATTAAGTACAAATACAGCCAATGGTTTATTTATATCCATTTACTTGTTAATGTGTCCAGTAAGTTCAATTAGTCCATTTACTCATCCAATTATATTTTAATTTTAATTATTCGTTATCATTATTAATAGATCTATTTATGTAATCAATCCAAATCCATACATATAAGTTTCAGCCCAACATTTATTTAATCTATTTGGCTCATCAACTCAAATCCATACATAATACATACGGAGTATAAGGTAGTGCGCAGTATATTTTTATGGGATGAACATTACCCGCATGGTGACTATTCATCTTCTTCATTAAATCGCACCTGGACGAGAGGAAAGGATGGATTTACGGGAGTTTCATGCCTCCATTCCCCAAATACGAATGTCAGAATTAGGGTACCAATTTACGGGAAACGGAGTTGGCTAATCCGACTTTTCTTAGGGTTTGCAGAGCTGTCAAGATCTCTTTTTTCGGATTCTCCTAATCCGACTTTGGATTTTATTTTGGGTGAAAAACGGATTTGGTGAATCCGAAATGTTCAAAACCAAAAAAAAAGAAATCGGATGTCAGGAGTGTAAGCCGTGTGTCAGGAGTGGTACTGTGGCAACGAAATTCGGATTTCCCTAATCCGAAATATGAAGCTCCCGGATTGGCCAGAACAAGTTTACCCGGATCGTGCTTCTTCAGCTCATTTTTCAACCGTAGGATTTAACAAACTCATCCCAATTGTCCATTGTTTTGCACGTAAATCCATACTCCCAATCTCAAACTTAACCTATTTAAATCACTTCAACATCATATTCAGCCTACTACCATAAAAATAAATTTAGTTACAAAAAACTATTGAGTGTTCTTGCTAATTCTATTCTCCGGGTTTTCCAAAGAAAGGTTAGAATTTTAATTATATATTTACTGTTTACCGTTAATTTTTTGTACTGGTTGTGTTATGTCAGCCTGAATATTTCGAAAATCTTATTATTAATATGTAATTAATCTTAATTGCTATTAAGATTGTTGATATATGTCATACTAAATATATAAGAATAGAAATAATTAGCCCACAACTTATAATTATTTGTAGTGTTTCCTTTACAGTAGTTAATTTATGTTGATAATGTAAGCACATTTACTGTTTTTCAATTACTCTAATTATTGGTTCACTAATATTTGTTACTAATGTATTAAATACTCCCATCGTCCCATAAAATTCTTCCCACTTTTTTTTTTGGACCGTCCCAAAAAATTCTTCCCACTTACCATTTTTGGACAATTTGTGTGGTTCACATTAATTTGACCTTTTTCTTACACAACTACAACCACATATTTCCACTTTATTCCACTTTCTTAATCTCCGTGTGAAGTTAAAGTGTAATGAATTTTCTAGGACAGAGGGAGTACTAAATTAGTGTATATGGTAATTTGAGACTACGTTGCGATTACAATTTAAATTTAGTTTTGTTAGTTGAACATTTTAATTCAGTCATCACTACTTATTTCCAAATAACATTATACTACGTAATATAATTTAGTTCATACTCCGTAACATTTATTATAATTGAGCCAAACATAAATTATAATTACACTATACCGGTAAAATTTTCACAAGCTCGTCTAGAACTAGTCCTTTTCTAGTTTTTGGCAAATGTTATGTCTAGAACTAGTCCTTTTCTAGTTTCTGGCACAGTGAGAATATTACTCAGTGACAAGTCTAAAATTTGTATCGGTACATATAATATAATTGCACTATACTGGTACGATTTTCACAAGCTCGTCTAGAACTAGTCATTTTCTAGTTTCTGGCAAACGTTATGTCTAGAACTAGTCCTTTTCTAGTTTCTGGCACAGTGAGAATATTACTCAGTGGCAAGTCTAAAATTTGTATGGTGAGTGAATTTTACCAAACAATGGCTCAAATTCGTGCTACGAATGAGAATGCGTTCACGTATTTGAACGCTATTCCACGAGAAAATTGGGCACTGTGCTTCGACGATGGACGACGTTACGGCATCCTCACAACAAATCTTTCCGAGAACTTCAATAACGTTCTAAAGGGATGTCGAACACTTCCAATCACCGCGCTGGTTAAGGCAACTTATAACAAAGTTGTCCAACTATTTGCCGATCGACGTAGGGCCGGTCAGAGGTGGCGGCAAGCTGGGTTCCTATATCCGCAAAATATATGGAAAGATATTCTTGAACATTCGCAGAAAAGACATCAGTGCACTATTGTCCCGCATAACCGAACAACGGGAATATACTCTGTTTCCATCCATGATTATCCGTCGGTAACGGTAAATCTCTCACGTTGCGAATGTGATTGCGGTTTTTGGAAGCAAAATGGATTTCCATGTGTGCACGCCTATGCAACATGCCATTTCTTAGAAATAATTGTAGATCATCTCATCCCGGACGTGTATAAATTAGGTGCGTACATCCGTACGCATGCTACAGATATTATGCCTATGCATGACGTAAGTGCGATGCCTGATACCGGATATGTAGTGATACCGCCTCAAAGTGCTCGACGCAGTCAAACCGGTAGGCCTCAAAGGACACGATTTACAAATCAAATGGATATGCGTCCGAGTAGGAGAGCACAAGAGTAAAAATTTATATGTATTTTGTAACTCTTTTTCAATGAATAAAAATTTGTATTTCTTTGTCATGTTGTTGTTCAAGAAAAATGAGTAATGAAATATTTATATTATTTAATTTTGCGGGAACATTGAATAAATTCGTAATACAATATAATTAAATATGTATATTCACTATTACAATCTCTAACATAACAATTGATTATTTCTTATTTAATAAAATAATACACATCTTTCCAACTATAAATATCACTAAATTATTTATTTTTGTACATATTATGCTTCATATGCTCTATTATTTATCTCACTCACAAATTTTTATTGAAATATTTGTGTTTTCCTGTTTGAAAAAAATGTAACTATCCAATCTAAAAAACCTAAGAAGTCTATTAAAAAAATTAAAAAATTAAAGAATTCATTTTTTAACTTTCCCTACACCTCCCGCAGCATCTTCCAGTAGTTTGCAAAAAAATTAAAACCATATTTCGGATTCATCTAATCCGTTTTTTAACTTCCCACCTAAAACCCTACATATTTCGGACTCATCTAATCCGTTTTTTAACTTCCCACCCAAAACCCTACATATTTCGGATTCATGGAACACGTTTCCCGTTTTTTTAGAATCCCTAAAAAAAGTCCCGCATTTCGGCAACCATGTGCGGCACTCCCGTAAAAAAAGACATCACCCCCTGGACGATGGTTGATGATGGGCAGTGGTGACGGGAAGTTAACCAGCGAAAATAAAACCGGCGGCAAGGAGTTCTCTGCCATCAGTCCAGTATGTGGCACGACCCAACGGTTTCCTCCTTCTTAGAAACTCACTCTGGTCTCCGGCGAACTCCAGCAAGTTTGTTCTCTCTCGTTTGAAGATAGTTTTCAATGATTCATCTTTCGTTGGATTCCTCTAACAGAGTGAAAGATTTTAATGGTGTTTATAGCTCGGGTTTTAGGCTGAAACGAAGGCCTGCGTTTTTCGTATATATATACGTATATGTGTATATCTCGAATGCAAGGTTGTGAATGCCAGAATTCTCAAGTTTGAGGTTGGTATTTATACAGGTATTCTGGAGGTTGTAGGTTATCGTTTGAGCTTATCCGATGATTGTGTGTCTAGTAGGAGTATGGGCGGCCGAATGTGTACTGCTTGTAATAGTTTTATAATTTGGTTTACATGCCATTATTCATATTAGGGTTGGGTCCGAAAAATCGAAAACCGAAAACCGAATCAAATCATATCGAACCGTAGCCAAATAAAACTGAACCGTTAACAAACGGAAACCGAATGTAAAAAACCGAACCGAACCGTAGTTGTTTGGTTCGGTTTTGGTTTTTACCCTTCAAAACCGAACCGAACCGAACAAGCCGAACTAGTTAAAATATACGGAGTAAAATTTATTTGTCCATTGTTAAGCATTAATCCTAACTAATCCTAATATCATTAATAGTTTTTTGTTTTCTTGTGCTAGAGAAATAATGTTTGTTATGTTTAGTTTAGTTTGTGAATTCATTTACACATTCATTGCACGTAATAATGTAGCTATATTGATAATATGTTTTTACTTGTTATTAGTATTAATTAACTTTTATTTTTATTTAACTTAAAGAATTCGTATTGATGAAACAATAAATATTTATCTCAACTATATCACATATAACGTATATACTCATGAACTTTTTTGAACTAGTCACAAACAATGTAAATTAATAATATATACTTTTATCTCTCTCGCATACTCATATAATTCACGACATATTTATTTATTTTCATTTTTATTTTATTTATTGTAGTGTGCTTGCATTCTTTATGTAATATATGTTTGATCCCTCAAAGTATTATATCAATTTTAAATCAAATGATAATTTTTTGGTAAAAAACCAAAAAAACCGAAACCGAATCGAAACAAACCAAACCAATTAAACCGTGGTTCCAAGTTTTGGAGTGTAGAACTAAACCGAAACCGAACCGAACTTTTTACTTTGATTTTATATTTGGTTTTAGGTCAAAACCGAACCGTAAGAACCAAACCCACCCCTAACTCATATATGCAGCCGGCGTGTGTGATTGAAGTACTGTTGTTGCTACTACTATTATAACATTATTATATTCCATTATTGTTGTAGCATTAATGTTATTAATGTGCTTATACGTAGTACCATTGCATGTGTACTATTGCTAATGGGGATCTATTATTTATATGTAGTATTATGTATGTAGTATATTTATTAGACTTGAAAAGTCAACTCTTTTGACATTACTTATTATTTTTATGTTTTTAGTGTATTGTTGTACCCATATTATTAAATTATTGAGATGTCACTTTTATTATTTACTCCGTATGTCATATGTATAACCATGACCTCTTACACAATGTCGATTATACCACTTTAATTAATATTTATTTCTATTCACTTTGTCACCTATATTTCATCTGTTTTTTTCTTTTATTTAACCTTTTTATTTATTTATTTATTTTATTTTTGTTTAAATTTTCGGGGTATCACAGAGGTGGCATATCTGGTGGTCGCAGTTTTGTCATTTGTCAAGTTTGCAGCAAGGTTGGTCACAGTGCTCTTATTTGCTATCACAGATATAATCCTACCTGCACAGTCTCTAATTCTACATTACCACATCATAATCCTACCTACACAGTCTCTAATCCTACTTTACCAAATCCATCTATAAATCCTTATCACTCTTATCCTCCACAAACACTCTCATATCCAAATCCTTCTCCACCTCTATCAACTCATCACAATAACTATCCTCCACCTCATCCTCATCCATATCAACAGTTTACCCAACCAACACCAAGCTACATCCCCACTCAGCCTTCTCAAAATACAAATTGGGGATCTGCTCCATCATCATCTCAAAATCAACCTGCTCCAACTGCAGCTTGGGCTTCTGCAAACACTTCCTTGCTAGGACCACCACCTAATGTTCAGAATTGGTTTCCAAATTCTGGAGCCTCGCACCATGTCACACCTGATCCTCTCAACATTCAACACAGTGAGCCACTTGCTACCACTAACAAGCTATTCATGGGCAATGGTCAAGGTTTGGACATTAAGTCGATTGGTTTCTCTTTCTTTTTCTCTCCTTTTCATCCTTCTTATACACTCTTACTTAACAACATTCTTCATGTTCCTACCATAACCAAAAATTTACTTAGTGTTAGTCAGTTTGCAAGAGATAATAATGTTTTCTTTGAGTTTCATGCTCATGAAAGTTTTGTTAAATCACAAGCTTCTAAAAAGGTCCTCCTACATGGCATCCTAGGTGCAGATTGTCTCTACAAGTTTCAGTCCCTTCCAGCTCTTGTTTCAAGTCAATCTTTGTCTCAAAATAAGTCCTGTAATCATGTTCAGTCTTGTAATAACTCTCTTTCTTGTAATTTGTGGCATTTAAGGCTAGGTCGCCCTAACTTTGAGGCTCTCAAATCTGTAATGCAACATTGTAATGTTCCTTCTATTAATAAAAGTGACATTGATTTCTGCTCTTCTTGTTGTCTTGGTAAAGCACATAGACTCCCCATCTTTTCCCTCCACTGCCACTTTTCACTCACCATTTGAACTGATATTCACTGATCTTTGGGGACCAGCTCCCATGTTATCTTTTGATGGCTATTCTTACTATATTTCATTCATTGATGCTTGCACAAGATACACATGGATTTATTTTCTGAAAAAGAAGTTTGATGCTCTTACTGCCTTTCAAAACTTTTACCAATATGTTCTCAATCAGTTTTCTGCTTCCATTAAATCTCTTCAATCTGATTGGGGAGGTGAGTTTAGATCTTTTTCTACATTTCTGAATGCTAAAGGCATCACACATTGAATCATTTGTCCTCACACTCATCATCAAAATGGTGTAGTTGAGAGAAAACATAGACCAATTGTTGAGAAAGATTTGTCTCTTCTAGCTCATTCTCATTTACCTCACACATTCTGGGATACTGCATTTGCAACCTCTGTTCATCTTTCAAATAGAACTCCTTCAAAGTCTAATGCAAATTCCAGTCCATATTTTAAGCTATATGGTTCAATTCCAGATTATTCTCTTCTTAAAGTCTTTGGATGCTCATGTTTTCCTTTTATCGGACCTTATAATAAACACAAAATGGATTTTCACTCTGAAGAGTGTGTGTTTATAGGTTACTCTTCCCAACATAAAGGCTACAAGTATCTCTCACCATCTGGCAAAGTCTATATCTCCAGAGATGTGGTTTTCAATGAGTTCAAATTTCCTTATCCTATTCTTTTCACTTCAGTTTCTCATCAACCTTGTGTCTCCACTACTTCACAGCCTCTTCCCATAACCATTGTCCCTTCTAATTCCTCTTCCCGATCTGATTCTTCTTTCTCTACTTCTTCTTCATCCCAAACTGATTCTTCTCAACCAGGTTGTAACACCCCGGCCTCGCAGGACCCGAGGTAGCTACTATAGACCAATAGTACTGTCCTCACAAACCACCACGAGCCTTTACCGCGCACTTTGTCCTCACTCATGCGCGCCTTGAGAAACTTCCCAGGGGGTCACCCACCCCAAGACTACTCTCGTGCAAGCACGCTTAACTTTGGAGTTCTTGGGTGATGAGCTCCCTTAAAAGGAGATGCACCTCTGTTGGTATGAGTAGTACTATTAATCCATTTAAATTAAATCTCAAGTGTTACGATCACCCCCACTTAGGAACGCAACGTCCTCGTTGCGCCCATAAACCAATCTCAATCATATCCCAGAATCTTTTCCCCTGCTAAGTGCCCGCCCAATATCCAACGGATCAGCACACTGTCGCAGGGTTGCTCTGATACCATTTGTAACACCCCGGCCCCATAGGCCCCGAGGAGTTACTTTTGACCTCTAGTACTGTCCTCACAAACCACCACGAGCCTTTACCGCGCACTTTGTCCTCACTCATGCGCGCCCTGAGAAACTTCCCAGGGGGTCACCCATCCCAAGACTACTCTCGTGCAAGCACGCTTAACTTTGGAGTTCTTGGGTGATGAGCTCCCTTAAAAGGAGATGCACCTCTGTTGGTATGAGTAGTACTATTAATCCATTTAAATTAAATCTCAAGTGTTACACAGGTTCTCCTCCCTCTCAATTACAACCTAATTCCTCTCAATCTGTCTCTACTCCCTCCCACTTACAACCTGATTCATCCCAGCCTGCTAATGTTTCCACTCCTCCTTCACAGTCTAATTCATCTTTATCACACCAACCATCTTCTTCTTCTGAATCCAATGTTCCTCTGACTAACACTCATCTCATGCAAACCAGAGCCAAATCTGGAATTGTTAAACCTCAACTTAATCCAACCTTACTATTGAATCATGTTGAGCCCAGGTCAGTCAAGCAGGCACTCACTTCTCCTAAGTGGTCTGCTGCAATGAAAACTGAGTATTATGCATTGATGTTTAACAATACTTGGTCTTTAGTTCCTCTTCCTCCAGATAAACAGGCTATAGGCTGCAAATGGGTCTTCAGGGTGAAAGAAAATGCAGATGGTTCCTTGAACAAATTCAAAGCAAGACTAGTTGCTAAGGGCTACCATCAGAGATTTGGTTTTGATTTTGGAGAAACCTTTTCACCTGTGGTCAATCCTATCACAATTAGAATACTTCTAACTCTTGATGTATCTCATCACTGGCCTATTCAACAATTGGATATCAATAATGCCTTCCTTAATGGAGATTTAAGTGAAGAAGTGTACATGGTTCAACCTCCAGGATTTCAAGTAAAAGATACATCTTTGGTTTGCAGACTTCATAAGTCCATATATGGCTTAAAACAGGCACCTAGATACTGGTTCTACAAACTGACTTCAGTTCATTATAGTGATGGGTTCAAACAAAGAAAATGTGATCCTTATCTACTTCTCTTTGCATCTTCTTGTATCCTCATCTACATCCTCATCTATGTTGATGACATTCTTGTCATTGGCAATAATCCTTCAGCTATACAAACACTCATCAACAAACTGAACTCTTCTTTTTCTCTTAAAAACTAGGAGACATTGATTTCTTTTTGGTAATTCAAGTGCAGAAACTGCCAGATGGAAGCTTACATCTTTCTCAAGCCAAATATATTAGAGATTTATTGCATCAAGTTGGAATACTAGATTCCAAAGGAGTCATGACTCCTATGATCAGTACCTGCAAACTTACTCATGAAGGGAGTAAATCCTTACCAGATCCTTCTTTCTAAAGATCAGTAGTACGTACTCTACAGTATGCTACTTTAACAAGACCTTAAATTAGCTATGCAGTTAATAAAGTTTGTCAGTTCATGGCTGCACCTCTGCATGATCACTGGAAAGCAGTCAAGCATATGTTGTGTTATCTCTCTGGCACCACTACACATGGACTTATTATCCAACCCATTCCTCTATCTATTATGCCTCTACCTATTTCAGCCTTTTGTGATGCTGATGGGGCTTCTTATCCTACTGACACAAAGTCCACATCAGGGTCCTGCACCTTTCTTGGCCCAAATATCATTTCCTGGTGGTCCAAGAAACAATTGTGTGTTGCCAGATTCTCAGCAGAAGCTGAGTACAGAAGCATGGATGATACAGCAGTTGAACTTCTCTGGGTTCAGTTTCTACTTCATGAACTCAAGGTTCCCTTTACCACTCCAATAATATACTGTGACAATCAAAGTACAGTCTAGTTGACAATATACTTCAACAAAAAAGAACAACTCTTTCTGACTCTTATTCTACGACTTGTTGTTCGTAAAAATATGTCGTTTCATCTGGTTGTTACTCACAATGTATTCTTCATTGTACTGAGGGGACAGCCGGAAAAAGTAATGGAAGAGGTCAAGGTTTGGCTCCAGCGTAACCTCCTTGCACCTAATGAAAAAAGCGGCCAACTCCTTGAAGCGTTCGGCATAAACTTGGTCAGTATCACATCGTAGAAATTGAAGACAGATACATAAAATGGATGAACCAGAAACCAAATCCCAACTACCATTGAATCATAATGAACCATCACCATGTTCGAATGATGGCACATGGGATGGTGGGCCCCTTTGGAGCTAAAGGAGATGGATAAGGTGCCTATGCTAGCACATGACCCCAAGATTCAGAAAATGCCTAGGGAGTTGATCTGGTTTGTCGTTTTCAAAAATCGCAAAGTCATTCCCCCGGTCTCATAGCAGTCTAGCTCCTAATCATCTTGGTCGCTTAAATCTGTCTCGGGACGTCATTTTGAGTGGCGTTCTTGGTCTAGTCTGGAGCTTTGTATGATTGTGTTGCTCCATTTGAGCACTTGAGGCCAACTTTCTTAATTCCAAGGAATTATCGGCACCTTTGATGAACCGGGCAGACATCATGGATAGAAGGAGAGAGAGGAAGTTAACCAAAGGCTACCTGAGAGAGGTTGAGCAAAGCTGGGGGGAACTGGTAGCCAGTTGGGCTACAATGTAGAGAGAATCGAGAGCTTTAGTCTAGAAAGAGAACAGTAGAAAGAACAACCATGGACTCGAAGCTGAAGGGGATAGTTATTGGAAACTTTACTGGTAGATTGACCAATTGCAGATTAGCACGTGGTGAGGAGTGTCCGAATGGACACATGTTGCATGGAGAAAAAGTATCAAGAAATGATGGTCGACATCTTGGGAAGCAGGGCGTTAGCCGTCAAACACGCCAACTCGAGGCCTCAAGGAGCAGAATGACAACCGCAGCATGAGCCGGATAGATCTAGGAAAAAGTGTTCGGTCCCGTAGGCCCGCATGGGATGAAATAGACAAGGCAAGGTTGGTACTTGAAATCTACTCACTGTTTGATATACGCCGCAAAGGCATTGGCGGGAAATCTGAGTTTGGCGAGAAGAGCATTTATTCCACTAAATATGAACAAAATTTATGGTTGGAGGTAACCCCATCAGGACACATCATGTCATCCTAACCATCTATCATCTTGAAGTATAAATACTCATATTTATTTCATTGCAAATAGTTGTCAAACTTGCTTTTAATAGCTTAGTCTCTTTACTCTTTAGCATTTCAATCCACTTCCAAGTTTAGAGGCTAGAGCTTTAGTAAGGGTGTGTTGAAAGTGTCATGCATTCGTTAATAAGAATCAAATGCACTTTACATTATCCTTTTGAAATTATTACCACCATTATCGTATTAAATAAGCATCTTAGTAGCATCACCCAACAAAGGCTGAGAGATCGTAGTGGGCTCTCAGACCATAAGGGTTTAATTTTAACCTCAACGTGTTTATGGAGTAGCTTATAAGTTTGAGGATTTGGATGTTGACGTATTATGCTATATATATATATATATATATATATATATATATATATATATATATATATATATATATATATATATAAAATATTATATATATTAAACCCGGTAGGCAAATCACCAAAATCAGTGGGGTAGAAGCCAGGGAACATCTACCAGATATTATAAAAGATTAAAGATACATGGGGGGACCAAACCTTAACCCACAACAAAATGAGAGTACACACATGAACGAGCCCTAAGAAAATCAATCAATATATGGCTTGTCGTACATATCCAAAGTGATAGCACCCAAAAGGTTCTTGGACACCGTCATTCCCTGTCTCCATGTAAAGGCCTCCCAGAAGCCCATTTCGGCTACCAACCCTGCAGCCTTATTTGCTTGGGCCGAAATAAAGCAAATATTCCAATGGCCCAAAT